GTTTAAAGGGGAGACAATCGATCTTTTCTGTTCTGTTTCACAAGCGGCGACCAACTGCTCCAAGTCATCAGTGCTTGTGTACCACCAAGGGCCCACCCCCCTCATCATTGGGGTTTGAGAGTTGTGGTGCCGGCACAACAAGGTGGCTGACTGGGTCACCGAATCTCCTCCACTCCCCAACTGCGACTGGACAATTACTTTTTCACCGATGGTGGTCCGTGCAGCGATTCAGCCATGGACTGCTCATGACGGGGCGAGCCTTTATGGCCGATCCCTAGCCTCAAGAATGCTCGTCTTTCCACACTGTGCTACCATTGGTCAAGCATGTGTGTTTTCGTTGATTTTATGAATATTTACCAATTGGATTCGTCGTCTTTGAAGACTGTGCATCGCCTCGCTACGCCCTACCTTTGGAAAGAAGAAATAAATCAAGACAAGTACTTACCTAAAGTGGCCTTGGAGGCGGTGGCATGGCCCATACGGAAAGGAGGGTTGGCTGGTACTGGACCCGGAGAGACAAATTGCGGCATTGTTTGCGAGATGGATACCATGGGTTCGACAGCTCAAAAGCACTGTCGAGCCCGCGCGGCGTCTCTCTCCCTCGCTCTCCCCGCACGGCCTCCCTCTCTCCCTCTCTCTCCCCGTGGGGCCTCTCTCTCTCTCTCCCTCTCTCGCCGCACAGCCGTGCTCTCCCCCTCTCTCTCCCCGTGGGGCATCTCCCTCTCCCTCTCTCTCCCCGCACGGCCTCGCTCTCTCCCTCTCTCCCCCCGCACGGCCTCGCTCTCTCCCTCTCTCCCCCTGCAGCCTCTCTCCCCCCGTGCGGTTCCACTCTTCCAAACGGGAAAGCGGGAAGATCCATTCCCATTTTGCACTGTTGAGCCCGCCTGCCCTCTCTCTCTCTCTCTCTCTCTCTCTCTCTCTCTCTCTCTCTCTCTCTCTCTCTCTCTGAGCCCGCCTTCCCTCTCTCTCTCCAATCTATCTTCCTGGGTGGTGCAAGATAGATTTTTTGGCCTGCGATCGGTAGGTACTCGCACTTGCCCGAAATCCGGAGCCACCTCCCTGAACCTTGCTCCAAATCGGTATGTATGTGTTTTGCAAATTGCAATGGGCTATCGCCCTTTCTGCCTTTCTCCACCTTCCTACCCTTTACCAATGGACCCCTTTCTCAATCTGGGATGGGGCCTGGGAACACCCCTTGGACAGAAATGAAATGGTCCGGATGCATTGCTACTCGACCAATCTGGAATATTAACTTTCTACTCCACAGGTTGATGTTAATTGGCCAGTGTTTCTCTGTGTCTGTGCGTGTGTGTGTGTGTGTGTGTGTGTGTGTTTGTGCGTGTGTGCGTGTGTGTGTGCACGTGTGTTGTCATATTCTCTATACACTCAAAAAAAACATGACTGTGCCAGACTGTTTCGTCGGACTTTGTGTGTATGTGTGTGTGTGTGTGAGAGAGAGAGAGAGAGAGAGAGAGAGAGANTGTGTGTGCACGTGTGTTGTCATATTCTCTATACACTCAAAAAAAACATGACTGTGCCAGACTGTTTCGTCGGACTTTGTGTGTATGTGTGTGTGAGAGAGAGAGAGAGAGAGAGAGAGAGAGAGAGAGAGAGAGAGAGAGAGAGAGAGAGAGAGAGAGAGAGAGAGATTGAAGTGCTAGCAAGATGGACCAGGACAAATCCGATGGACCTGGTCGTTGTTAAACAAGCCCGTTTTCTCTGCCTCACAATGCACCAGGCAGTCCCATTAGCAGTCTGGTGTGCAAAACGCATTGCCAAGGCACACAGTCCGAATGCCAGATATGCTTCAGCGGGAACACCGCCAATGTTTCAGCGGCGGTCGCACAACGAGGGACAGTTGATGGCCGATTGGTTGATTGACAGGGAGTCCATGGGTGGAGGGAGGGAGGACCTGCAACACAAACTTTTGTGTTTTGCACTGTGACATGGATCCGCCTTTCCATTAACAATGCTGAACAAGTCTGGATTATTGCTTCCGATTGTTCCCAGGGAAGGGGACTTCCCATTGTTAACAATGGGGAACAAGTCTGGATTGGTAACGATGGGAAGCAATCCAGACTTGTTCCACATTGTTATGAATTGGGAACAATCCAGAGTCCCAGGGACGGGGACTTCGGATTGCTTCCCAGGGACAGGGACTTCGGATTGGTGGGATTGGTGGGTTTGGTGGGAAGCAATCCGAAGTCCCTGTCCCTGGGAACAAGTCCAGATGGACGGATCGTGTTTTTTTTTTTTCCCCGTTAATGGGAATGGCGGCGAGGCAAAGCCTATAGCTTTCAGTATGCTTTCATACGCGGAAGAGACACTCAGGGGTTTGTGCAACAGACCCTGTGAACCCCCTCTGGACACTAAGGGACTCAGCAACCAGAGGTGCGTGGAGAAAGACGCGGAGACCAGTAATGGTCCGAGCAGAGGTTAAATAATAAAAATATGGCATTAAACAAGCGACACTGGCGGACTGGGAGTGTACCATGTACAGCGGAAGGGGTCACAAGGAAGGGGGGCAATGCAGTATTTCACGACAGGTTTGGCTGCTTTTTCAGGAGGGGTCACAAGGCCACGCTTACCATACCAACCAACCACGCCTGTAAAAGCAGCCGAACTGTAGTGAAGTAAGGGTCAAACGCCTTGCCCGCATTTCTCCGGTTCTCCATCTTTTTTTTTTTTTTTCTGTGAATGTTGTACACAAGTGGTTTGCAGATCTGTAGGAAAATATTGGTATTGTTTGATTGTATAAGGTCAGTATAGACTCCTGTAGGAGTTTTTTTTTTTTTTTTTTTTTTTTTTTTTTTTAATTTTAACGAGACGACGCTTAGTGGTTAGTCATGTGTTAGGATAAACTTTTGAGCCGGTGTAGAACAGAAGGCGTCAAGGACTTCCAATGAGCCCTCCTTGAAACAATCGTGGCTTCAGCTTTGCCGCGGGCCGGAGAGCCTCGCGCTCAGCCAGCGCGACACCGGGCACGGTTCCCAGCTTTGAGAGTAATAGTAATTTAATACAGATAAATACTTTTTCCGCGAAATAGAAAAAGACAAGCCGTTTTTTTTTTCATGTGCTATTAGAGAGATAGCCATAATATCCGTGCATGTGTTTTTTAAACTTCTTTCCGTTTTTCCTTACTCCGGTTAAAGACGGGTTAGCAGGGTCTCCCGTTGAAGTTTACAGGACTCGTTCCTCTTTCACTTCACAGGCCTTGTCTGTTTCTTTTTTTTTTCCTTCACTTTATGGGACTCGCCCGGTGCAAGTCACCCCCCCCACAAAGGGGTTACTACACCGCCGTTCAGGTCCATCCATAACCCCACTGCTTTTCTTTTCTTTTTTTTTGTTCTTTTCTTTTTTTTTTAATTTTCTTTTACAAGTTTTATTTTCTTATTTTCTTTTTTCTTTTATTTTCTTTTATTATTTTCTTTTTTTTCTTTTTCTTTTTTTTTCTTTTCCTTTTGCTTTTTTTTCCCCTTTTTTTCCCCCTTTTCCCTATTCTTCTCTCCCTCTCCCTCTCCCTCTCCCYCTCCCCCCCTCCCCCTCCCCCTAGTCTGCATTTCTTGCAACCACCACCGCCGCGGGTTTAAGGTCGTGTCCCGCACCATAGACAAGGCACCCCCATTTTCCCATTTCGTTTGGCTTCACCCCCCTATAACTTCCCCGACTTGTATTCATCCGTTATCTTGGGTGCGCTGTCTTGGAGGGACAAAGCACCCCTATAGCTTCCGCCTGGCCGGTCTTCAAAAAAAAAAAAAAAAAAAAAAGATGGTATTGAACTGTGTCACGGGCCCCACTTGTATGCCCGCGACAAAGGCAGCGGCGTCTCGACTCGAGAGACTTAATGTATTTTGACAAGACGAAGGCCCTCAACGCACCACTCTCGAAATGTGCAAAATGAGAATGAACTTCCCCCCTTCAACATGACCAGATGCACCGACCACATTCTTATCGTTTTTTCGGTGGCCACACGCAATCTGGATCTCCCGCTTGTAACGGCGAAGCATGCAAAAGTCACACCTGGAGCGCTTGCTTTGTTTCAATTCGAGCGGTCCATATAACGTACGTACGTAGTGTCAGGGTAAATGTATTGAGGGCAACTTTCAGTCTATATACAGAGGGATTGTGACGTGGGGTGGCTGCAGAAGTCACACCTGAAGTAGTGTCAGTGTAACTGTATTGAGGGCAACTTTCAGTCTATATACAGAGGGATTGTGACGTGGGGTGGCTGCAAAAATCACACCTGGATCGCTAGAATCGCAACCAAGAGCTTCAGGTGTGATTTTTGCAGCCACCCCGCGTCACAATCCCTCTCTATATAGACTGAAAGTCGCCCTGAATACAGTTACACTGACACTAGGTTATATCCCCTGGGGAAGACGGTAGTGGGGTCCCAGGGCCAAAGGCAGGGGTGGCGTACGAAATGATGAACAATCATGTTCCAGCAGAGAGGATCTCTCGTTTATAACAACGACGCATTGAAAACCAAATACAAAAAAAAAAGAGCGAGTGAGAAAAACGGGAAAAAAAAAAACAAAAAAAAAACAGTGCCTCATGGAGCAAATCTACGTAGTTACTCATCATCGCTGAAGGTACCTCTAGTATGAATTCACACACACACACACTGATGAACAGAAAGGCTGACAGTCATAAAGCTCACACACACACACACACACACACACAAACTCTGCTGGCATCCATCCTTTTTGCCTATAAGAGGAAGGTATGGATGGGATCGAGTGGCAGACTTCTTTGGACAATCAGACTTTTCTTTGAACATCAGAGCGATACAGGCAATCCCTAACGCGCCTTCCACCTCAGTAAGGCACAAAGAATATACACTACACGAGCATTCACCACCGACAAGGGCGCCTTCGGCGCCGGTGAATATGCAATCACGGGATTGGCCTCCCTCGATAATGATAATGAGAAGGTCGACAGAGCCGCCGTAGTAGGGGAACTGAAGGGCGGCAGTTTCCAGAGGAGAAGGTTCCGTGTAAAGAGCTATATGCATGGTATATCTTGCAAATATGAAGGATCTGGAGAAAGAGCAAGGGGATCAGGAGGAGCAAGGAGATCACGAGCAAGGGAATCAGGAGGGGAAGCAGACAGGTGGATGTCCTTAAAATACCTTCTTTCGATCAGATACAAAGCAATCGAAGCAAACGTTAGGAAGTCAACGTCTCCTTCTCATAGTTTGACAGTTACATGTCCATGCAGTGCATGCACCGTTCAAAACGTGATTCGTATCCCAAGGAAAACAAAGCAAACGCTCGCTTCTCCGCCACCCCCACCAGAACGCCAGACATTCAGAGTTAAAACCTGAATAAAGGGAGAGGGACGGAAGGAGGGATTACATCTAACATTTCTTGTTCCAAAGGCGGGAACAAGAAAATCATCTCTCTCTCTCTCTCTCTCTCTCTCTCTCTCTCTCTCACACACACACACACACACACACACAGACAGTCTCAGAGGCAAAGTTCCCTCTCTGTCAAACGAAGTAGCAGAACCAAAACAAGACTTCCCTCTACTCCACACCTAAGTAACCTGAGGTCCGACGCCCTGCTATGAACAGACTGCCCCTCTCCGTGTAGACAAAAAGGACATGAATCAACGACCCGATCCCCAACCAGCCAACCAGCCAACCAACCAACCAACCAATCAATCATACAGGCAAAGAGACCACACTGCCCATCTTCAAATAGTTCTAATTCATTACAAAAGCAACTCTCTCTCCTCAAAAGTGCATGCACCTGACACTTGCAAACCGCCACATTCATTCATTCTTTATTTACTCCCTCCCTCCTTTTATTTACTCTTTCGTTGCAACTCCCTCCGGTTTGTCCACGGCTCCTCTTATCACGCAATACATTTCCATCGCTAATTTATTATACCCTGAGGCGAAGAACATGTCTACCACCTGTCTTTATCGTTGTAGTTTCAACACACCTTCCTCTGCCTTCTGAAGAAACAACTGTGTTCCAGCCAAGGCGAAGAACATGTCCATCTTCTTCATCAGAGGGGGGGGAAAAAAGCCCGAGAACATACCCATTCTCTGCAGAGAGCGGCAAAAACACAGCTTCTCTCTCTCTCTCTCTCTCTCTCTCTCTCTCTCTCTCTCTCTCTCTCTCTCTCTTTGCAGAGAGCGGCAAAAACACAGCTTCCTCTGGCTTATTATGATGAAAAAACGCTGAGGACGGATAAGGACATGTCTGTCTATCTTCTGTTGCATGCTGTTGCATGCTGTTGCATTGAAAAGGCCAAGAGAGGTTCATCCACCAAGACTCTTACCTCCTATAACCATGCCCACCTACTTATTGCACCAAGTAAGACGCCGTAACGAGCAAAGACTTACACTGCCATCGCACTTAAACGAAAAACACGACCAGATGCAGCTCAACCTGGATTCAACCTCCTCACTATCTACTGCACCAACGATAGTTATGCAACAACTACCGAAGAGGCCATCTCATGAAGACGAGTGAATTGAGAAGCCGGCAAACATCCAACCAAACAAAACACCTTAGCAGAGAACCACCTGTCCAACAAAGCTGCTCTCACGCAGAGCGAGCGAGCGACAGGCTATCGGGCTGGTCTGTCTGGAAGTAAGAGTACGTCCAGACCGGAGAAGCAACATGAGGATGAAGCTCTCTCTCTCTCTCTCTCTCTCTCTCTCTCTCTCTCTCTCTCTCTCTCTCTCTCTCACTCTCTCTCACTCTCACTCTCACTCTCACTCTCGCTCTCGCAGTGCCTGCTTCCGGGTCAAACCGTCAAACAGATGACAGGCAATCACCTGTCCTGCTCCCATAACCAAAGAAGAAGAAGAAGAAGAAGAAGAAGAAGAAGAAGAAGAAGAAGAAGAAGAAGAAGATGAATCGGCAGAGCCGCCTTCTGTACACGCTTCCCAAGCAATTCGTTACAGATCTGCATGTACAAGTCTCATTAATGCGCACATTCTCGTACGCGTTAAGTAGAAGTCAAAGAAGAAAAGACGTACAAGAAGAAGACGAAGAAGAACATGTTCAAAATTCCCACACTTACTTAAATGCCCTTTCTGACGCTTGCACAGAACTCCACAACAATCTTGCCTACACGTCAAGAAGAAGAAAAAGAAAAGGCAAAAACAATCCACAGTTATTGAAGGGTTTTGCTCAGGTTTCAACAATGTTGAAAAACTACACGCGCGGTCAAGATTTGTCCTGATGTGCGTGCCCCCTCAGGCAAGCGACTGCAGCAAGCAGGGGACTGCACCCAGTGAGAAAACCGGAGAGATACAGAGGATTGACATATCATTTGCTCACAATATCATTTGCTCACAATATCATTTGCTCACAATATGCGAGCACGTATGTATCTGCACACCTCCATTATGACCCACATGCACCGCAGCGAAGAATCACCCTGGTGCAAGCACCCTCGAGATCTGAAATGGCCACAAAAACACGGATGGAAGCCTTCCGCATTCGAGGCAGGACTGTTGACATCCAAATCTGGTCAGCCTGTGTAGCCATGTACAGAAGAAGGTAAAGAGCATTGGGGCCCATCCCACCAACAAGCAGTGATCCTAGGCACATCTGCTCTGAGAGAGAACGATGAGATAGCAGGACCTAACTAAGGGGGCATGCATACTCACACTGGCCCTTCTGCAAAATTAATCAGACCGAAATAACGACTGGACGTGGACGAATCTGACCGCAATCAGGTCCAGAGCTTTGTCGAAAAAGTCCTTGTGTGCGAGTATGCGATAATCCAGAGAAAAGAGATGAAAGACCAAAGCAAGTACTTCCGCCGACAGGAGTAAAAAACAAAAACGGAACAGAAAACAAGCATTTGGGCAGAAGAGAAGCAACAAACAGTGAATCTATATCTACTTGAAGGGCGGTGATTCACGCCACGGCGCCGTCGTCGTCTCTTGTAGACCACAGGATAGGATAAGAGTTAGATACCGCAAGCAAATGCACACGCTGCCAATGAAATGTGAGTGACATCCGCATGTATTCGATAAAAAACCCTGCAGATGAATGTCCACCGCAATTCCATCCACATGCATTCGCTCGCCTGCAGACAAACGCCCACCACAGTTCGAAGCGGGAGGAACAGCAACTTGGCTTTCTCCATCTTCCTGTGCAGCCCTCTGATGCATGTGTGTTTTTGTTGGGGGAGGGAGGAGGGAGGAGGGAGGAGGGAGGAGGGGTGAGGGAGGGGAGGGGAAAGGGAGATAACTTTACATGGAAAGGATTCCACAGCCTATACCTTGCAGTAGCGTGCAAAGACGCATCGGACAGATGAAGCGCACAGAATAACGGCGAAGCACAGAAAGCACACGAGTACGCGTGCAATAGATATTTCATATCGCAGCCACGAGGGACAGATTAATGATTATTAATGCTAATCAAGTACCAATCGAAGTCAGATATTTGCAATTTTATGACGATCGACATGGTAAAGGCACTCGAACAAATCACGAACGGAAAATTACATGCGTCTAAACAGACGATGAGACCACAGTGTGACAATACAATAGTCAGCAGCTGTATGAGAGACTGGAAGACAATTAGCCTAGTGCTAACACAATGAGAGAGAGAGAGAGAAAGAGAGAGAGATGGGAAGGCATGCACGGTGTGGCCGAGATGTCGCTCTCGGAGAATGGCTCTCTCTCAGAAACTGGCTGCGTTGGGATCCGATGATCTGTCTCTCTAGGACTGAAGGTAATGGCAACAACGGTCATGACACGGAGAAAGTCTCTTCGCGTCGGACAGACGACGATGGTAGTATGGGAGGGGTAAGACGGATGGACACGAGGAGCTATCGTTATTCAAACAAGCTATCGTTAATCTGCTGAGCCGTTAAAAATAAACAAAAACTTGTGATAAAAAAATAAACACCAGGTAACTCTACTGAAATTCTGATTATGTTAACATAATCTAACAATAATCCAACTGAACCACTAATCATTACAAGGTCCGATTAACGCTGCGCAAGACAAATGGACAGAACGAGGGAGCTAGCAGATGCCCAACTCTAGAATACGTACTACAGCAGGAGAGAGAGAGAGAGAGAGAGAGAGAGAGAGATGGTCAACGGGGAGAGGAGGGTGAGGGAGAGGAGGATGAGGAAGAGGAGGGTGAGGAAGAGGAGGGTGAGGAAGAGGAGGGTGAGGAAGAGGAGGGGAGGGAGAGAAAGGGGAGGGAAAGTGAGGATTGAACTCACTGTAATCTTCTGTTCTTCTACAAGACACTGGAGGGCGGATGAGTTCGCCTACGCTCTACTCGATGAACGCTGCAGACGAGCGACAGCAGCTCTGGAAGAAACAGCTTCCTCCTGACCAAATCCATCCACTCAGAGAATAGGCAGAAGATTGCCTTCTCCTCCGTCTCTACACACACACCGTCTATATCAGCAATCACAGGAGCTGTCACAGTCGTAGTTGTGGAGTTGTGGTTGTATTCCCAACCCCTAATCCTTCCGTCTCATGACGTGCACCTAGGTGGAGCGCATTTCAACACACAAAACTATTTTCCTCGCCACACGCACCCAGCCACGTGATAGAAGGAGAAGGATAGCGATCCTAAACGATCAGACAGTGTCACGCATCCATCTACATTCTACTCCCTACTCATTCCACGCACCCAAACAACGATACAATCACGGCAAGTTAGAAGACCACAACACGATCGAAGAATGCCTGTCAACCTTCCCTACCCTACCCTTCTCTCTCTCTCTCTCTCTCTACTCTTTGATCAAATGCACCCAACTCAGAGACAGGATGATTGATGAAAGAAGGACGGAGCAGACGATGAGTATGGTCGAATGACGACCGTCCTTACGCACTCTCTCTCTTTCTCTCTCTTCTCTGGCTCTAGTCCTTGATTAAGTGCACCCAAAGGAGCGATAAGATGATTGCAAGAAGAACGGACCAGACGATGACGATGGTAGGTGTTCTGTTGCTCTTACCCATGAGACCTTTGACGAAGGGATAAAGATGGCTGACCACCCAGAACGAGAAGAACGTCATTCCCATCAACCGCCCCCAGTTCTGATTATCGGAGGTGTAGATGGTACGAGAGACACCAGCAAAGCATGCGAGGAGATTGACAAGGACGATGGTGGTAGGCGGCACCATTAGCCATGTGAAGCGGAAGGCATAGAGCTCAGCGTACTCGTCCTCTTCGTCTTCGCTACCTTTCTGCGTGAGCGTGAAAGACGTATCTACACCGGCGAGCACCTTTAGCATTCCCTGGAAGACGGCGGCAAGATGCGCGCTCGTTCCTCCGATGACCCAGAACTGCTCGTTCCTCCACCACTCCTCGAGCGCCACGCCGCTCCATCGAAGCTCTAAGATGGCAGTCATGAAGATGGTGATGAACAGGCCCAAGAAGTAAAGCACGGCGACGTCGGTGATGTCGGCGACGATGAATTCGTCGAAGAACAGACAGACAGCCGGCAGGAAGCAGTACACGATGAGCGCGATGGACGTAAATGGGTAGACGGAGGTGTTGACATACGCGAAGCGCTGAGGGAGCATGAGGTGCTTCATCCAGTGGAAGGTGATGGGGTTATGGCGGGAGAAGAAGATTTCCACGGATCCTGTCGCCCAACGAAGCACCTGGCCCAACCTGTCGGTCAGATTGATGGGCGCCGACCCCTTGAACGCCGGTCTCTTCGGAATCGCGTAGATCGACCTCCATCCGTTCACGTGCATCATGAAGCCCGTGACGATATCCTCTGTGACAGACCCATACATCCACCCCACCGACTTTCCCCACTCGGTGTCGTCCTCGTACCCGCAGGATATGACCAAGATCGCATCGCTGAGGACCTGATAGGGGTCAACGTCGGGAACGCTGCCTTCCGCGTCGACGACAGTGGCAACGAAGTTGGCACAGCTGCCGAACCTTTGCTGATGCCACGTGGTGGGGACCAGGTTCATCCTCTCGTCGTCCTGGTCTCCGGGAATGACAGCTGTCATGAGCTGCTGGCGGCGATCCATCATGTCGCGTGACTTGCGCGAGGAGCCGAAGCAGCAAGAGAAGCAGCAGCAGAAGTACTTGCAGCAACAGCTCCGCTTGTCTCCCCCTATTTTGGGCACGGGAGGGAGGAAGCCGTACAGCGCCTGCCGTCGGAACACACAGCCCGTTCCCACGTACATGGGCCCCTGGAACCCGTCCAAACCTTTCATGTTGACGTCATAGAACACGGTGTTGTGATTGGCGTACCGATCGCTGCGATCGACGCCGTCAAACCGCTGAGGGAACTGCACGAAGCAAGTCTGCGCCCCCACGAACGGATCCATCAGGTAGCACATGGCTTCACGCACTGCCCTGGCATTGTTCACGTAGTGATCGCAGTCGAGATTCAGAATGAACGGGCCATTGGTGATGAGAGCGCTGGAGCGCATGAGGGCGTTCATGGCACCGGCCTTCTTGTTGTGCTCGTACCCGGGGCGCTTCTCACGAGACACGTACACCAGCCGAGGGAGGGGCTCGTTGTTGACGTCCTTGGTATCTCCGTCCGGCTGCAGGAACACCTGGATCATGCCCACGTGGTCGCCGCGGTTGTTCCCCGGCCAGGGGGAGCAATCCGCCATCCTCCACCCTTCCGGGGGGGGTGTCCTCGACTTAGCAATCAAGGCATTGATGCGGACCTTGAACTCGTCGTAGGTGCGCTTCACTTGTCTTCGGTCTCGGATGAAGTCGGGCTGCGTCTTGCCTTTGGTGTAATCGAACTTCTGTTGGAAGTACATCTCCGGCGCGCGCGGTTCAATCTCGTGCTTCTTGCAGAACGGCACCCACATTCGCGCGAAGCTTGCCGTCTCTGTCAGCGCTTCGAAGGTCAGCATCGCCGCCCCGTCGTCGGAGAGATAACACGCAATCTTGTCCACAGGGTAATCCATAGCCAGCACGGACAGGACGACGTTCATGGTGACCAAAGGCGGCTCCTTTTCCGGATCCGCAGTACTGACGAAGACGTCAACGGGAAGCAGCTTGCTTCGCTCGCCAGGTCTTTCGAACCTGGCCGCAAGACGGTCCAGGAACGTCTCCCGCGTGATGGGCGCCCACTTGGGCGTCTGATCGAGAATCCACGACAGCGCGAACCACATCTCGCAGGCGACCGAGATCGCCCACAGCCAGTACGCATTCTCATTCGGGTTATTAATACGGTAACGGAAAAAGGCAAGGAGGACAAAGAACCGAAAGATAATCGTTAATCTATAAGGCAGAATCATGGACTGAGGGAAGTAGACAATCTTCGAGAGAGCCAAGTCGTCGTCGGACAGGGCTGCATTTTGTCCGCCTGCGCCGCTGCCACGCCCGCGCCCGACGCCATCGCCCCCGCTTGAGCTTCCCAAGTTGTGCTTCTGTGCCTCTTCCCAGCTTCCATAGCCGTAAGCATCATCGCTGGCGCCGTGGCGCTTGCTCAGCCCACCAACGCCCTGAGAGGCCATGGAACCCATCGACAAACCGCCGGGTCCGCCAGGCCCGCCGCGATCGGAGACGCCGCCCATCAGATCCTTGGCGGTCGCCGCATCCACTCCGCGGCCGCGCATACTCATCTCGCCCGACCCGCGCGACACTGCGCCCATCAGCGACGCCTCTCCGCCTGCCACGGGGGGATCCGACGGCACGGACGGGCTTCCTGCCATCCTCCTGTACAGCACGTGGCAGTTAGGACACCTACCTCCCTCATGCTCCCTAATGTACTCGTAACAAGGCCGACAAACAGGGAAGCTGCAGTCGCAGGGCATAAAGACCGTGCCGTTCTGATTAACACCCACCTTCTCGCGGCAAATGGCACACTTCAAATTTTTCCCCGTTGAGTCCTGATGTGAGAAGAAGTGATGATCGCTGGCGCCCGACTTCGAAGCCGCCAGCTGGCGCTTAGTGTGCACGCCCAAGCGCATCATGCTCTCCATGCTCGACGACCTCATGGCATAACCGTCGGAGTCCGAACCCAAAGAAGGGGTTTCCGCGCCCGTCAATGACGCGCTGCGCGGAGCCCCGCGCTCACTGCGCTCCGACTCACTCGCATTTCCATCCATCACGCTAACATCCAACGACTCGAACGAAGCCCCCCGACTCAACGAACCTCGAAAGAACGGACTTGGCGTTGGCCCCCCCCCCCCCGGCCCCCCCCCCCCCTTGCTCCCTGATTCCCCCCCTTCTCCCCCGCTCTGCTCCATCTCTCCCCCCCCCCCCTCTCTCTCTCTCTCTCTCTCTCTCTAACACACACACACACACGCTACGGATCGCTTAAGGTAGACAGAGTAAGTTGTTCATTCTACTTCATTGCAAATTGTTAAGGGCACGAGGGAGGATACTCTATCGCGCAAGCTTCGAATTTCAAGACTTGCAGTTTGCCATATATATCACTAATGGCGCAATCCCGACTTGGAGTTCTTGTGGTCGGGACGATCGTACATTCATGCAGACTGCCAATCCCGACTTGGTGTCGAACCCTGCACATCCACATCCAATATAAGCCACGCAAGGCTATTATTAGCAACGGACAGGCAGGAGGATAGATTACGTGGAGCTACGCAAAATCGAATTGCGAGTTTTTTTTTTTTTTTATTATTGCGAGTTGTTCGTTCTCTGCTGGATGGAATTTCGACAAAAACGATGTCTAGATACATTTCGAGGCGCCAAATCAAATCATCCACCCCCTACAGCCCAGCAATTGTGACCCACACACAACGAGAAGCAAACACAAACAAATAAATTAATTAATTAAAGTCGCGTTTTCTTCATTCTCTACTGAATCGGATTTTGATAACCATTTCAAAAAAAAAAAAAAAATTGATAACCACGATTCTTCGACTCTGGCCGTTGATCGTCTGTCAGAGCCTCCCTCCCACTACTCGTAAATGTACTAAATGACAATGAATCTTCCGCTTGAATATGGACAGATGCACGTTCTCAACTCCCCATTAGCTCCAAAAAATGGCACCATGAATCTTGTCTATTGAAAAAATCTACAATCGACAAAACAGACCTAATTAAAAAATCGACAGTCGACAAAACAGATGTCACGTTCTCCACCTCATTAGCAAAACCGACACTGGGCTTTTTTCAAAAAACGTTTTCCGCTTTTTCCGGAAAAAAAAGAGAAGAGTTTATCACCTTTTTAATATCGCATGAAAGAAAACAAAAAGGGAACCAAAAAAAAAAACTTTTCTCACCCTCATCATGTTCTCAACCCCCCCATCAACTACAGCGAAAAACGTTTCCCGCTTTCCGAATGGGTCTCGCTCCACCGCTCGCCACATGCACAAAGGACAAAAAATATGGCGATGTATCTTTCCATGTTCTAGCGGAAGATTCATTTTCTTTTTGGACTTTCGCAAGTAGTCGAGGGAGGCCCTATAATCTCGCCCAGGAGATAAAACCTGCTCTTCCAGCAAAAAGCGGCAAATCTTGCGATTAGTGAGCGGATATCAGCCCTGCACGTGCTGCTGCTCCCCACGAATGATGGAAGCATGTCTTCAAAAAAAAAAAAAAAAAAAAAAAATCAAAGTCAACGGATATCAGAAAGGCCCACATGCGGTGAAATGGATATCAGCCCAGCACGTGCTGCTGCTCCCCACGAATAGATTGGAGCATGTCTTTAAAAAAAAAAAGAAAAAAAAAAAAAGAAGAAAGTCAACGGATATCAGAGAGCCCCACTTTGGGGTGAAACTGACGAGGTCGAGATCATGACCGGGCATGAAACACATCTCACGAGTGGAAGGATGACTATTCTGTTTTTTATATATATTCCTTTTCTTTTTTCCTTAATTTGGACTAATTCTCGATTTGTGTCATCCTTACGTGGATGGATGACCATTCTTTTCTTATTCTATTCCCCTTCTTTTTTCCTTAATTTGGACCATTTCTCGATTTACGTGTCATTTTTGCGACGGGGGGCATACTAATCTTCTCTTTATCGTTCCAATTTTGACAGATGTCCCTTGGAAGGGACTTCGTCCCCGTGCTTTGGACTATATAGGAAAGACAATACAAGTAAAAAATGTAAAATACAGAAAATAAATAGAATTGAATAACTTCATTAAAAAAATGAATACTCGCCTCGTCTGGTCTTGTTTCCCACCTACACCTCTTTTTTTTCACAACTGCCCATTCAACTGCATCTTCTAGACTCCTATATAGAAAGGACGCGCTTGGGACTACATAGGAAAAACAATACAAGTAAAAAATGTAAAATACAGAAAATAAATAGAATTGAATAAATACATTAAAAAAATGATGCTCGCCTCGTCTGGTCTTGTTTCCCACCTACACCTCTTTTTTTTCACAACTGCCCATTCAACTGCATCTTCTAGACTCCTATATAGAAAGGACAATACAAGTAAAAAAAAGCACAAAAAAAAGAAATAGAATAAATACCTAGGCTACCAGATTGGCCAGACCAAAAGAAAATAAAAATATACCCACATATTTTAGGGGCATTTTGGCACATATCTCAACTTACGGGGGTATTCTGCAAATTATCCCATTTGTTTTTTATTTCAAATTTCGTAAACAATTTCAATTTGACCCTGAGGCAAAATTTGTTCAATTTGTTTTTCTGCATTCCATTTTTTTCCCATAATTTTTTTTTCGCAACTTGTTTTTTCGGGACCTCCCCTGCTCCTTGCACGGCCGGCCCGCCCGGGAAAACAAGGTTACCCGGGCGGCCCGGCTGCTAGCCTAGATACATACATAAAAATCTCCATGCACCTACCCATCTCCATAGAACGCAATATTATCGACGTTGCTTCCTGACTTCCTAACCTCGTCTGCTCTTTGCTTCCCACCTACACCTCTTCTTTTTTCCCCACCTGCCCGGGTCACCCGCATCGCCTAGACCCGTACACCTTTCACTGTCGGAGATTTTTCTTTTTGACTCTGTCGAAGATTTTCCCCCAAGTGTGATCGTAGAAGCATCACACAATTTTCGGAAACGTTCACCAGAGGACTATGTCAGAGATTTCCCCCCAAGTGTGATCTCATTTCACGACCACAGATTTGATGGCCGGAACGATGTCGTCATTCCAGGCCTCGTTCACGCATGGTCTACGCATTGAGCACGTTGTCACGGTCTCGTTCACGACAATCTTAATGTAATACTGTTATTATGATTTTTTTTGTTATTATAACAATAAAAGTTTATAGAATTAATATCTGACGCATTGAGCACGTCGTGTCCGTCTCGTTGAAGACAATGTTAATATAATACTGTTATTATGATTTTTTTGGTTATTCTAACAACAACAGAATTAATATCTATACCGATGTATATGAGACGGTGGACCCGGTTTCCAGCGGGTGAACTGGTGGGTGAACAAACGAAACACAGCGCCAGTGGGAAAACTGCGTAAGGTTGAATATAAAAAACAGAAACAAACAAAGGCGGCAGACGGAATCGTGTACGGTTGGGAAAAAAAAAAAAAAAAACAGAAACTGTGAAAAAAAGAAGCTTCCCATAAATAAAAATGGATCAATTAAAGAAAGAAAATTGCCATGAAGAAACAAAGGCCCCAGCAGCAATTTGCGGCAGTGCCCAACTGCAACAGGAAGGGAGGAACTCTCTTCTCTGAAGATTCACCTATCTAAAAACAAAACGGATTGGAAAAAAAAATCACCAACTTCAGGAAATGGAGATCCCAATAAAAAGCAGGACAATAACAAACGACCGGATACCGACCGCCGCGCAGAAAGTCGCGGCGCAGCCCGATGAACGCAGTCTTCATAGATTCTGTTTTCTGTTTGTTTTTTTTTGTTTTTTTTTAAGGGGAGCTCTTTTATTAACAACGGTCTCGATAGATGTGGTTTTCTGAATGGGTATTATTTTAAATATCCTGATTAATTAATATTTGCTAAAACGAAAAAAAAAATAGTGAAAGGTGAAATTGAGAGAGGAATATATCTCAGTTGAACGGAAAAGAAAAAACTTCAAAAAAGTTCATAGACTCCACTACTGTAAGCTTGCCGTGAACTTGTCCCCGGCAGCAACAACAACACTTCAGTCACATAGAGATATCGAGCAGAACGATAAAGGTGGTCTGGCTCAACTACCGAGCAAAATACAAAAACAATTGGCAGTGTATATTTCCATGTTCTACCGGAAGATTCATTCTCATTTTGCACATTTGTTGAGTAGTGGAGCCAATTAGTGGAGCGAAGGCCCAAGGTATCCCAAGCCAAACTACAAACTCTATCTCTATCTATCTATCTATCTATCTATCTATCTATCTATCTATCTATCTATCTATCTATCTATCTGCCACCTTTAAAAAAAGAAAAAGAAAATGCAGAAGACAAAAGCCAACCTTGCGTACGTGCGCCGCAGAGACAAAGTAGATGTACAAGACGGTACTGAAAAAAGAGAGACTTGTATATGTATATTTATACCAGCACCAGGCCGAGGAACACGGGGAGCGGCGAGGTAGGAAGCGGCGGGAAGGGAAGGGGTAATGCAAGAAAAGAAAACCGACCCAGCGGAAAAGGTGAAAAAAACATAGGAGAAAAAGTCCAAATAAACAGCAAAAAAAATAATCAAAAATACGAAAAAAACGATAACAGGTTAACAACTTAAATTGTGCGACGGAAAATAAAAAAAATAAGCCTCCAAGTGATCAACTGCGTGAGAGGACGGGTCGGGAAAAAAAGCCACAGTAAGTAAATAAAATAAAAAAACAAAAACATACAATTATACAAAAATACAAAATTCCAAAAGCACAAAAATACAAAAACACAAAGTACAAAAATACAAAAATACAAAAATGAAGGAAGTGGAGACGGAGGAGACGAAGCGCGAGGAGGAAGACAAGGAGGAATAGCAGATTATGGGAACGTCTTTTTTCATTTCCATTTACAAAGCGAATATCGAGGGGGGGGGAAATTGGAGAAGGGAAGATTCTGGCGGTCGAAACAAAGTATGGTTGCCACGTCATCTCAGAGGCAGGGAGAGATTTGGCCTCGCTCCACTACACAGCATACTAAATGCATCTGGACGGGTTAGAGGTCCAGTACATTCAAAATGTTCGATCCGTCTTAATGTATCTGGTCTACTATCCAGTTCAGATACTTTTCGAATGTTTAGTGGAGAGACTCCCATGGCCAGGAAGGCGAAGCAGTAGTCTTGAAAAGAATGGAGACGCGAGGACGAAAAGAAAGATTTTGATTTTTTTTTAAGGGAAAAAAATTGAAATAGAAAGCACGCACATGAGCGGTTGAAGCTTTCCCCACCAAAACACGGGTAAAAACATGGAGAGCGCGTTGTTTCCCGTGGATAATAAATATCGTAACTTCAGATAATAACAGTAAAAACCAACGGGGAACAAAAATAAACATTAAATAAATAAATAAAAAACAATAATCCGACAGGTAACCAGTGAAAATCCAGAAGCGTGACAAGTGCTTGAGAGGACAATTAAACCAGACACATCAGCAGTGAAGATTTAGAAGAGAAGCGCACACTAGGACTTTTCTACTGAGCTCTGGACGTGATTGCAGCCAGATTCACCCAGCGCGGCCTGTAATTGCATTCATACATTCATACAATGTCCTAGTGTGACTATGGGCCTTATAAGCGATACATGGGGTTCAGAAAACGACAAACTAGACACGGCTAGCAGTAGGTGATGTCAGAAGGTGACAAGGGATTGAGAAGCCAACGTCAAAGGGCCTCGCTCCGCTACTCTCGAAATGTGCAAAATGAGAATGAATCTTCCGCTAGAACTTGGCTAGATACACCGCTATGTGTTTTGTCTTTTGTGCATCTCGAGAGTAGTCGAGCGAGGCCCAAAGAGATGCTCAAGAGGGGAGGAGAAAGGACTACAGTCTTCACCCGAATACAACGTACGGTCATTATCACTGTGTATCTAGACGCAAAGTTGCCCCAAATACAGCTATAATGACGATACGTTGTATTCCATTCCGGTGAAGACTAGTACGAAAAGCAGGAGAAGGATAAGCAAAAGCAAGAAGACGCGCAAGTTGAGGAGGCAGAGCTGTTAGCTACCGGGAAGGAGAACTGCAAAACACATACGTCTATACACATATATACATCTACATATACATATTACCCACAGATATATATATATAAATTGTCGCTTTCATGCTTGCTAAAATGCCCTCCCTTCTTCGTCTTCTGCCGTTCCTCTTCCCCGTGTCCCGTTCCTACCCCCCCAGACCTAACAACCTCTCCCTCCTCGATATTGCCGTACAGAATTGCCGACTGGATCCTAAACAGGAAGGGAGAAAACGACAAAACACACGGGGGGAGGGGGGGGAGGGGGGGGGAAAGGGAGGGGGTTACAGAAAGTTGCGTCGAAGTTTCACCGACTCTTGATGACACTGAGCCCTCTACAATCTGCATAGTGCCCAACCGTCGTGGCGGCCAGTACACTCATTTCAGTTCCATGGAAGTTTCACCGACTTACGCGAGAAAAATGAACCCTCTACAGTCTCGCAGTCCTCTACAGTCGAGGTTAAGCGGCTGTGACAGACAGTTCCGTCGGGGTTAAGCGGCTGTGACAGACAGTTCCGTCGAGGTTAACCGGCTGTAACAGACAGTTCCGTCGAAGTTTCCCTGACTCATCACAGGAGCCTCAACTCTTTGCAGTCTGCAGAGTTCCCCACTTACCATCGGCGCGCGGCTCTTACATTGAAGTCTCGTTGAAGTTTCATCGTGACTCATCAGAGAGCAGCTCAACGCTCTACAGTCTCCAGACTCCCCCCTACCGTCGAGGCTAAGTTATACTATATCGTCATCGTCACAAGAATATCAGAGCGCAAAATCGAAAACAAAAGAAAAAGAAAGAAAACAACGAAAAAATGAATTGCTTTTTTTCTATATCTACGGTCGACGTGTGATAAGCTAAGAAGATATATATCTACGGTCGATGTGCGATTTCCTGAACGAGAAAAACCATGGCCATCCTCCAGTCCTTGTGTACGATTCCTACACCCCCCCTCGCCAACCGCCATGCCAAAGTGCTGACGTGGCTACGACACGGTTCGCTTTCACGCGCTCTCAGCCTCCCTCGCTCTCACATCCGTTCCTCCCCCCGACACCTCTTTTCTCTCTCTTATCATCTGTAACCTCCTGTTCTCCTTTCTATCGATCGAATACTTCTCTTCCGCCGCCGACGCCACAGCCTCCTCTTCTCTCTCGACCGTGTACCAATACTCCTGTCCTCCTTTCTCTTCTTCTTTCCAATCACCGAAAGTAAGCTCCCTTCTTCTTCCCACTCACCGAAAGTACGCAGCCGAGAGGAAGAGGAGGAGATGGGAAATGGGGGGGGAGGAGGGGGAGGAGGAAGAGGAGGAAGAGGACGACGAGAACGAAGAAAATATAAGAGAATACGAGCAGCAGCAGGAGGAAGACGAGGAAGGATGAGGAGACGGACGGGAGGTGGAGATAAGAAAAAGGTAGGTAACAAGTGAAACAACAACAACAATAATAATAATAATAATAATAATAATAATAATAATAATGAAAAAAAGGAAACGCGCCGGGCATAGAACACTGGGCCGCGCGCCGCGATTCAAACAAATTACCTGAGGAGCGACACGTGTCAGACACCGCTCTGTCCTTCGACGCACCAATTAATCGAAAGAATGACGCGTTGGACAACAAGCCGTTGGAATCCAGTACCTGAGGAGCGACACGTGTCACACACCACTCTGTCCTTCGACGCACCAATCAATCGAAAGAATGACGCGTTGGACAACAAGCCGTTCGAATCCAGTTGAGAGTCGAGACCCGACTCGCCGCAAGAATGAATGACCGCCAGCCACTTTCCCACCAGCGAAAGAATGAGAGAGAGTGTCACCCCGTTCTATAAAACACAAGCAAAGAGGTAACTAACCTACCTTAATAATCTGATAGAAATCTTTCTAAGAAAATTTCGAGGGAAAGAACAAGAAAGAGAAGAAAAAAAAGAAAAAAAAAGAAAAAAAAAGAGAGGACAGGAATGTGCCGGCGCGGCGCAGTTTGCGCGTTGTCCCGCCGCCACGTCCGACGGACGCGACGAGGAGGAGGATGTCAGTCCTGAGGAGTCGGTCAACGTGGAGGAGGTCAAGGGAAGAGAGAGAGAGAGAGAGAGAGAGAGAGGATTAGAGAAGACGGAGAAGAGGAGGAGGACGATGACAACGCGATGGCGGCGAGAGGAGGAAGAATGAGAAGAGGAGACGGAGGAGGAGGAGGCGAACAGGAAGGCGGGAAAACAAAAAGGATATGGCAGGGAGCGAGGTGAAAAGAGCGACGACAAACGCTTGGGAGAGATGGTCGTACGCGGGGAAGAGAGAGAGAGAGAGAGAGAGAGAGAGAGAGAGAGGGAGAGGGAGAGAGAGAGAGAGAGAGAGAGAGAGGGAGGGAGAGGTTAGAAACTACCAACAACGAAAGGAAAATGAAAAACGCCACTACGCACCAACCGCGGGAATACACTACTGGGTAGCAGCGGTAGGACCCGCGGAGTGGCGGGGAGAATGTGTGTGTGAAGGAGAAACGCGGCTTACCGCCGGTCTCTATGGCGCAATGCGTTTGACGCGGCGGGAGCGGCAAACCGCCAAAGGCGCCGACTTCGCAGCGGGAGCCATCATCCGCCTGACAAGCAAGACGACACCAACGGGCCTACCGGGGGTGGTAGCTCACTGGTACACTCTTGGGACTACACCCCCCCCCCCTTCTCCTTTCCCCCCCCATCCTCTCCCCCACCACCCTCCCCACCCCCCCCCCCCCCCACCTCTCCCCCCCCTCTTCTTCTTTTTTTATCTTCTTCTTCTTTTTCTTCTTCCTCTCTCTCTCTCCCTCTCCCGCTCTCTCTATCTATCTATCTATCTATCCCCCCCCTTTGTCCTTTCCTCCCCCATCCTCTCCCCCACCACCCTCCCCACCCCCCCCCACCAAATTGGTAATAAGGGCCTCGCTTCATCACTCGCCACATGCACAAACGACAAAAAATATGGCACAAAAGACAAACAAAAGATATGGCCGTGTATCGTCCCATGTTCTAGCGGATGATTAGTCCACATTTCTTTTTTTCTGTTTTCTTGCTTTTTACCATTTCTCGATTTATGCGTGTCATCCTTGAGCAGGGGCTAGGTCCCCCTTACACGAATAAAGCAATATTGACCGTAGATAGAAAAAATCAACGGCCAGAATCTCTTAATCCGTGCAAGTGGGACGTTGCCCCCGAGCAGGGGCCATGCTGCTAATCTTCTTTCTCTGTATCCCCGGCCGTGGTCCCATCAGCAATAGCAAAGAGCATCGGATTGAATGCCAGAATCTGGACGTGTTCGAGGACAGGAGCAGGAAATCGAGATCGAACTGCTTTTCTGTATCTCTGCGTACAACATGCCCAGATTCGAAATTTCTATCCGATCCTCTTTGCCAGTGGGACCACGCCCCCGAAGGACTTAGTTCACATTTTGCACATTTGGTGAGTAGTGGAAAGAGGCCCTCCTGAGTCCCACTACCGTAGTAGAGGGGGTGTTATCTTCCTGGCCCCCCAGTACTTGGGCCTCGCCCCGCTACTCAAACCCCCCTCTACTGTGGTAGTGGGACTCAGGAGGGCCTCTTTCTTTTTTTTTTTTTTTTAAAAGGGCGATGGCCTTGAGGTATTATCATCGGACTAATCAGCCCAGGTAAATTCAATATTGTGTCTAATCTGACATCGGGTGGCCTTTTCAGCCCAGGGTGGCCTTGATTGCCTTCAGGGAACCCCCAACGGGGGACACCAGCCAGGGGACAGCCGGTGGCAGAGGGACCGAGCATCATCTGAGTGGCCAGTAGCTGTGCCTCCTCTTTCCACCAGTCACCAAATGTGCAAAATGTGAACAAATATTTGGGGTACTCACCACATGCACAACCGACAAAACAAAAATATGGCGGCGTATCTGCCCTTGTTCTTGCGGACATTCGTTCGCATTTCTTGCACATTTCGTGAGCCTTTTCCAACAACGCGGGCCACAGTAAGGGCGTTAGATCTTCGGATCGGACGGTAGCAACCGACGCGTGCTCGAGACCAAAGGGCTCGCTCTGCACTCTCTCTCCAAATGCTCAAAAGACAAAAACGAAGGCAAAAAAAAACAAGAAAAAAAACGATGGCCGTGTATCTTTCCATCTTCTGCAGGAAGATTCATACACATTTCGCACATTTGGAGAGTAGTGCAGCGAGGCCCCAAATCTGAAAAAAGACCGATCGTGGGATTTGGCAGTTGAACTGTTGGGACTGAAAGTTTTTATTCACCCGAATAGAACGCGCTGTCATTCTCGCCGCATCTGGACTGAAAGCTGTTCCAAATACAGGCAGAATGACCGTACGGTTTATTCGCGGGAAGACGGGGAGAGCCGTGCTAGAGGTGCCAATTTATTACGGAAGTTACGAAAGGAGAGCGGAGTTCGAATCTTCTTTCCTCCCGCGAATACAACGTCCGGTCATTATAGCTGTACCTGGACTGAACAATGCCTAACATACAGCTATGATGACCATACGCTGTATTCGGGGAAAGAAGGTAAACATGACCAGGTGAGGAGAACGAAAGAATTATGAATTACCTGGGCCCGCGCCCGGGCCCGGGCGCTAAGTCCCATAAGCGAGCGGTAGCGGGGGAAGTCTTCCTTTTCCGGTTGTTTTATTTTGAAGTTTTTTTGTTTTTTTCAACGTGGCTACAGTGTGGTCGCCAGACGGCAGTATCTACGAATTAAGAGATACTGACCGTAGATAACAAAGATCAACGGCCCAAATCTCCTACTTTGCGCAAGTGGGACCTTGCCCCCGAGACCCGAGACCGAGGCTTGTAGACCCTCGCTATGGGTAGTGGGACTTAGGGGATCGCCACACCACTCTCCAAATGTGCAAAATGAGAATGAACTTCCCGCTATGCACCCGCCACATTTTTCTCTTTTTCACATTTCGAGAATGGTGTGGCGAGCCCCTGAATGCGCCTTTACTGTGCGCGGGGTGGGGGTAGAGAGGGGGGGGGACGGGGAGGGAAGGTGTAGTTTGGGCTGCGTACTCGAAACCAGGGCTAACCACCCCAACCTGTGGGAATGAGGCCCCGGCCACACCCCCGCTGCGGTAGCAGGGGGGGTAGTCTCGTTTTTTTTTTTTTTGGAGCATTTTTCAACGTTGTAGCCACGGAGCGGCCGTGACAGTATGAACCGCCCGGGCCAGGCAAAAAAAAAAGAAATCTGGGGCCATAAGATCACCGACAACAAGGAGGAGGAACGGGAAAAAAAAAACAGGGAAAAAGGCCGATCAAGATCACAGGATCTAAAAAAACCAAAAATAATAATAATAATAATAACAATAAATAATAATATTAATAATAATAATAATATAAAAATAAAATAAAAAAGATCACAGGATCTTTCGGAGACACGGAAAATGATCGTGACATTGGGCCCTGTGCAAATTGAGAACGAATCTTCCGCTAGAACACGGGTAGTTTACGCCGTCATATCTTTTGGCTTTTGTGCATGTGGACAGTGGTGCAGCGAGGGCCATTGATAGCCAGCCCAGAGAGGAAAGAAACGGGGGCAAGGTCCCACTTGCACGGATTGGGAGATTTCGGCCGTCGATCTTCTCTATCGACGGTCAATATCGAATAATTCCTGCAAGTGGGACCTAGCCCCCGGGAAACACCAGAGCCTGGACCATCAAAGCCAGGGACGTTGCATTCAGAAGGTCGCAGGTAGTGGGTGTCAGACAGCCAACTTCCCCACTTACCCGGATTCTTGGGGGGGGGGGGGGGGGGAAAAAGATATCTGACAGTAGATTACGAAGATCAATGGCCACAAATGACAAATCCGGGCAGGGGGACTTGGCCCCCGGCATGCTTCTTTCGTCGTATTACCATCTAGAAAAGGGGATTGGCCCCCCAGGCGGACACCATTGGCATGACCTTAGCTAACAATGTTGGATGGAACTCAACATTGTTGGTTATCTGGGTCTGGTTTGACACCCCAAATGTTAGGTGGCACCAGTGCGAATGTGGGGTGGGTAGGTGGGGGAAGGGGGGATTCAGTGACCGTCAACAGTGCGCTCTAATACAGTGGCTGGCGACAGTGTGCCCAATCCCGAATAGCTTGATGAGGGGCTGATACAGCTTCACTCTCATACCAATTCTGAAAAAAAAAAAAAAAAAACGAGAGAGAGGGGCGATACCGGTTAGGCGTACAGAGTAGCACAGAGATGAAGAGCTGAAGAAACGGTCAAAAGCGAGAATGGCTCATACCTAAAAAAGAGAGAGAGAAAACGGAAGAGCAAATAACACCCACAGCTCTGCTATAGAGCCCTCCACAGTAATGAAGTCAGTCAGGAAGTCGCCTGGTGGGAGACGACTCTGATCAAGAACCAAACAGGATATTGGCCGACAGGCAAACAGACTGGCCGTGGCAGCACAATGACCTGGCATGTACCTGATCTAGGCGGGCAGCAAGCAACACCAAGAAGTCTGTACACGACGGTCGTGCCTTTGAAGGCTCGCAGTGGCAGTGGCTGCGGGTGAGGGTCGAGTTGCACTACGCTTTTGGGAAACAGGCACATGGTTGCACTTGCTCTTGAAACTTGGCATCTGAATAAACTGTCGGAAGTCGTGGTGAACATTGTACTTTTCCCCTCCTGTCACAGCCTGTTTGTGGAGGATGGTGTGAAGAACCCCTCCACAAAATGACTTCCTGTTGAGTATTCCAACTTCACGCCTGGAGATCTCACGGACAACCCAAACACCCGGCAGTTAACACGGGGGGGGGTCAGTGCAGGGAACAACCGAGAGCACTGTACAACCAATAGTGAAGAAGAAGAAGGGGGGGGGGGGGGGGGGAAAAAAAAAAAAAAAAAAAAAAAAAAAAAAAAAAAAGGGGAAGAGAAAAAAAAAAAAAAAAAAAAAAAAAAAAAAAAAAAAAAAAAGAGGTCATTGCGAGAAGCACAAGGCGGGAGAGAGAGAGAGAGAGAGAGAGAGAGAGAGAGAGAGAGAGAGAGAGAGAGAGAGAGGTCTCAAAAGTGCAACATGAGAATGAATCTTCTCATGCACGCAGGAAGATTCATTACCAGTTTGTGCGTCGGAACGCGCGGGCCGCACAGACACACAGAGAGAGAGAGAGAGAGTGTGTCCCGTCACCGCGACGGGACTCTCTCTCTCTCTCTCTCTCTCTCTCTCTCTCACACACACACACACACACACACACACACACACACACACACACACACACACACACACACACACATCACATCTGGCCATGTTCTGTTTTGTTTACAGAAGGCTTCCCACAACTGGCCTGTTTTTTTTCACCACAACTGCCCCCACCCCGGCCCCGGGACATCCTCCCATTACCAGGCCACACCGGCCCAGGTGGCACGTGGGCTAGCCAGACCTACCTGCAACTGTCGGGTCTGGCCGGGGGCAGCTGCGCGCGACTACGTCTAGCCATTTGCATGCTCGGGTGGCGGAACCCTTATTGCCAACGGCTTTTTTCTTCTGGAAGCCACGACTGGCGACATGGGACAAG